TCCCCCTACTGTGACCTGTAACCTACCACTGCAAGGTGAGTCCCTACTGTAACCTACCACTACACGGTGAGTCCCCCTACTGTAACCTACCACTACACGGTGAGTCCCCCTACTGTGACCTGTAACCTACCACTGCAAGGTGAGTCCCTACTGTAACCTACCACTACACGGTGAGTCCCCCTACTGTAACCTACCACTACAGTGTGAGTCCCCCTACTGTGACCTGTAACCTACCACTGCAAGGTGAGTCCCTACTGTAACCTACCACTACAGTGTGAGTCCCCTACTGTGACCTGAAACCTACCAGTACAGGGTGAGTCCCCTACTGCTACCTGTAACTTACCACTACAGGATGAGTCCCTTACTGCGACCTGAAACCTAAAACATATTGGGCATAATCTTACTGTAACCAACATGCAAGTGAAAAATATTTATCCACCACCCAAGACAGAAATTAGTAACACTTAGTGCAGGAATATGTCTAAAAAAATTGTGTACCATATTTCCCAGAGTGTGAAGTCTGTTTCGTGGAACGTGTAAGATGGCAGCGCCACCTTTGTTGTTAATGTTGTAATGGATTATATGATGAATGAAGAGGCACTTTGTAACGACGTGTCTCATTGGACAATACAAGGAAAATAGCGTTGCGCAGTGAATACAAATTAAAATATGTAGATTAGTGGAATGGGAGATAGCTCTATTTTTAGGGCTTAAGAGTTAATTTACCTTTTATGTAAACAATATATTGGATGATATTTGTTGTTTATGTATTGGCATTTAGGTGTTAAGGCAGAGACGACGTGACGTCACACACAAAACGTCCAATGGTCGACGGGGAGTTGTACCTCTATTTGCAGTTCATCCCTGATGGATACTGCATTCATAGAGGGATACTAGCGGTTGCATTCAAGAATTCTCTGAACTTCTTTGGGAGAGTTTTTTCTTGGCCCACCAAACTGACGTTTATCATTCAAGTTCCCGGATTCCTCCGACAGCCAGCACCACAGTCTAACATAGCAACCATTGCCCCTCGTTGATATAGCATTAGTTGAAGTCCCCTGAAGTTCATACTTGATAAAGAATCTCCACTTTGAGATGACTTGTGATTGGTCTGGGGAGAGTGATGGGCCCACATTCTTTCACTCAAACGACGACACTTTCTGGTGTAGTTTCCTGGTTAAACCATTATTGTAGGAAATTGGCCTCCTTTAAAAGCATTAGTTTGCCTAATAACATATATCATCACGTAGTCCAGGTTGAGTACGAGATATTCATCAAATGACAACAAATTACACGCATACCATGATCGGACATTTCACATGTCTGCCATATTTGTAATGTACGTCTGTCTGTGTCTGCATCTCTGTCTCTCTCTACTCAACCACTTGGGCTGGACGGTAGAGCAACGGTCGGTCTCGCTTCATGCAGGTCGGCGTTCAATCCCCGACCGTCCAAGTGGTTGGACACTATTCCTTCCCTCCGTCCCATCCCAAATCCTTATCCTGACCCCTTCCAAGTGCTATATAGTCGTGATGGGTTGGTACTTTCTCTTGATAGTTCCCTTCTTCCTCTCTCTTGCAATTATTTGATCAACTATGCATATTATTATTATGTAATGTTTTTAATTACCTAATTTAATAATTATTCTCATGAATCAAATACACAAGTCATATAGTCCCTCTTCATTTCATTTTGTCTTCCAGCTGTCAGTAATATTAAATGATAATGAATTACAACACTTTCCGATTCTCCTCTCTATTTCTGATATTGATGTGTAATTTGTTCTTGATACCATTATTCGTATAAAGTATATCAACTAGTTTAATTTAGTTTACTTATTATGGACCCCATACCCCATCCTGTGGGCGGTAGTGGAAAGAGTTACAGAGGCACATACTGGGCTCAGGGACTGAACCCCAAAATTCATTTAGCTAAACAAATTAGCCTTAATGAGCTACTTACAAATTTAAGGATTCGCTGGCTGGTCGCCAGAGGGGGCGGACATGCTCAGGTGTGGCTTCCTAGCTGACAACCTGAGCGTGAAGTTGGTGGTTGGGTATTGGTCCTGTGACCTGTGTGGCACCCGGCTTGTGTAGGGGACTTTTTTGCTTTATGATGGGGTCGTCTATGCCTCCTCTTAAGCGGACGGCTTCGGCTGGGCTCGAGTTTTCTATGCTGGTTGATCATACGCTTGGCGCTTGGTATTGCGCTGGTGGAGGTGCTCCATGTGAAGTTAACAGACTTGGTGGCAGTGCAGATCGTTTAAAACTGCCTGTGTGGTGAAATTTATTCAATCTCTCCGATGTATGTATTCCGATCAGCCCCATACTTATTAAGGTGTGGTCAGCAAGATCATCTTGCGGCAGCTTGCTCCGTGAAGGCAGCTGATCGCGTCAAAATCTTCAGGGAGGGTAATTTTTATTCCATCTGAAATTAAGTGGATTCTGAGGTGTTGGCTGGTGATGATGTCCCGCCTCCCAGCCTGCCAGATGTTGCGCTTGTCTGTGTGAGTGTCTTGCAAGGAACCATTGGAGTGCCCTGTGCAACCGTGGGCTGCCGAACGGCCGTTGTGTGTGGATGAGGATCCGACTGACTTGCTTAGTGTGGTGCCGAATGTGGTGGTGAAGATTCAGTGTACTGCCTCCTGTGGCGGTGGTACCGGCTCCCCAGAAGACGTCTCTGTCTGCTTTGGAGAGCGGTTCTGGTGTTCTTGCTCCGCCTGTGGAGTATCTGGATGTGGGGGTTTCCCCTCGTCTCGGAAGGCGTTTCCAGCTGCTTCTCTGATGGAGTGTGCGCGTCCCCCTCGACGCCTACAGGACGCGTCGCGTCAGGCTGAGCTGGTCCCTCAGCAGAAACTCATGAAGGGCATTGCCAGGTCACGGTCCCTTGGTACCGCGACCAAGTGGTACGGACACTTTGGAGTCTATGGTGGACAAGGGTGGGGTGGATGTGTCGGTGGTTGTGGAGGAGCAGGGGCGGGATGAGGTGGCTTCTTTGCCGGTTTCTCCCCGTGAGCCCCCCCAGTGCCAGTTGGCCGAGGTGGAGGGTTGTTGACCCTGATGACAGTGATAGCGCAGGGCATGTTTGGTATTGAAAAGGGGGGTTTATTGACCTTCCTCAAGGGGGTTTCCCCGTCGATGGAACCCCCCACTCCCCTATTCCTCAGGAGAGATATGGGTTTTCCCTTAGGAGAGGATCCGGCCTTTGCGGACCTGCCGCTGGTGGGTGGTTAGTACTGATCTGGTCGGGTTCCTCGGGTGTGTGCTGGAGGTGCGTCGCCATTGGGTTTTATGTGGTTTTTATTTTTGCTTGTGTACTTGTGTTGGAGTACTTATGGTTCCCTTGGGTTTACCAGTGTTACTTTTGTGTTTTTTTCTGTATTTTCATATGCTGTCATATGAACAAGAAAGGTCGACAAGCATATGCTTGTCGACCCTTGTTGTTCAAATGGGGATACTGTGCATGTGTGCCTTGTAGCAAGGTTCGGAGGTGTCTCCCCTCCTTCCTTGATACAGATTGTTCTATGTGTTGAGTGCTGGGTCCCGTATGTTTTTCTTGTATTTTCTTAAATCTGGTCTAGTGTCTGGCCTTTCCTTTGAACCGTGTTCCCTTATTTTGTTCTGTTTGGTTGTGGGTGTGCGAATGTTTGGGATTGAAGGCTTCCGCTTAATTGTCTTCTTGTACTTGCTTTCTTAATTTTGGTGGGTGGTAACGGCCTCTGTGTGTTAGGGTCTAGTATATATGTTCCTGTATCTTTTGTATTTCTGTATTTATTCCGTTTTTCCTTCTTTTTGTTTCATTTATGCGTACATGGAATTGTACCCTGGTTCGTGTCCGTGTATTACACTGGTGTTTGAATATTTTTGTATCTGTGTTTGTAACTTTTTGTATTGGTTTGGTGGCTTGTTTATTGTTCGTCTAATTGCTTGTGATGTCTCCTGAGCTGTTAAGACATTGTTCTTGTGCTTCGGTACCTTGATTTTTAATTGTATTTATTTGTGGTTTTATAATAAAGAAAAAAGTTACAAAATTCAATGCACATCGCCACATCAACAATGGGCTCGAGACTCCCCCCACCCCTTCCCCAAAGAAGCCTCTTGTAGTATATAAACTATATTTGAAAATGTAAATGTTTGCAATTCACTTCTAACATGAAAAAACGATTAGTTTTTTGTTGTTGTTGATTGACTGCCAACGACGACCGAGGTAGCGTTTTGTATGTTACGACACGTCGTCTCTGCCTCAACAGAGGAAATGCCAATACGTAACATTATCATACGGTATATCGTTTACATGAAAAGTCAATAACTCATAAGCACACATGTAGTGTCATCTCCCTTGGTCATAAATCTAAATTTATTGATTTGTATTCATTGCTGGGATATGTTTTCCGACAGATGTCAGAAAATAATGTAAACAAGTGAGTGGTGTTCTGACCAATGAGACTCGTCGTTACAAAGCGCCTGTTCATTCATGACCTAACCCAATACTACGACAACAACAAATGCGGCGTTGCCATTTTGAACTTTACAAGAAACTGGGGGGATAAAGAAATACTTTTCCTCTATTGTATTATAATCCTTGCATCCAGTGTACCTTATCCATCCACCCAGTGTACCATATCCATCCACCCAGTGTACCATATCCATCCACCCAGTGTACCATATCCTTCCACCCAGTGTACCATATCCATCCACCCAGTGTACCATATCCATCCACCCGGTGTACCATATCCATCCACCCAGTGTACCATATCCATCCACCCAGTGTACCATATCCATCCACCCAGTGTACCATATCCATCCACCCAGTGTACCATATCCATCCACCCAGTGTACCATATCCATCCACCCAGTGTACCATATCCTTCCACCCAGTGTACCATATCCTTCCATCCAGTGTACCATATCCTTCCACCCAGTGTACCATATTCATCCACCCAGTGTACCATATCCATCCACCCAGTGTACCATATCCATCCACCCAGTGTACCATATTAGTGTACACCGTGTAACTGTGTGTGTACCTGCAGGAGGAAGTGCTGTGTGGTGCGGGTGGTGGAGAGGCTGGTGGAGGGGTGCCGGGACCTCTCCTACAAGATACAGGACCCCAGGAGTCCCACAGTCAGCGAGGAGGAGATGGTTGGTGAGTGTCGCACCCGTGGCCCAGAGGGTCACCCGTGGCCCAGGGGGTCACCCGTGGCTCAGGGGGTCACCCGTGGCCCAGGGAGTCACCTGTGGCCCAGGGGGGTCACCCGTGGCCCAGGGGGGTCATCCGTGGCCCAGGGGGTCACCCGTGGCTCAGGGGGTCACCCGTGGCCCAGGGAGTCACCTGTGGCCCAGGGGGGTCACCCGTGGCCCAGGGGGGTCACCCGTGGCCCAGGGGGTCACCCGTGGCTCAGGGGGTCACCTGTGGCCCAGGGAGTCACCTGTGGCCCAGGGGGTCACCCGTGGCCCAGGGGGGTCACCCGTGGCCCAGGGGGTCACCCGTGGCCCAGGGGGTCACCCGTGGCCCAGGGGGTCACCCGTGGCCCAGGGAGTCACCCGTGGCCCAGGGGGTCACCCATGGCCTAGGGGGTCACCCGTGGCCCAGGGAGTCACCCGTGGCCCAGGGGGTGACCCGTGGCCTAGGGGGTCACCCGTGACCCAGGGAGTCACCCGTGGCCCAGGGGGTCACCCGTGGCCCAGGGGGTCACCCGTGGCCTAGGGGGTCACCCGTGGCCCAGGGAGTCACCTGTGGCCCAGGGGGGTCACCCGTGGCCCAGGCTGTTCCTCCAGGCACACGGCCCACGGGTCATGACCAGATGTTGACAGAGTGTCAGTATGAGACGAGGTCATTATCAGGATAATTCACTATGCCGGTTAGATTATATTGGACTTGGAAGGGGTAGTACAGGGTTAGTAACCTAACCTATGCCTACATTTGCAAAATATGCTAATATATTATAATATTAATTTATATTTGAGATAATTCCCGTTTTGAATGCACAACATGTAAAAATTTATGAAGGCGTCTGTGGGGTCGACCGCTGGATGTAATAAGTCGAGGACAGGTTGACAGCAACACTGTTAGTTTAGATTATTATGCACCCCATACCCATCTTGTGGGTGGTAGTGGATAGGGTTACAGAGGCACATAATGGGCTCAGGGACTGAACCCACCAAAATTTATTTATCTAAGCAAGTTACAGTCTTGCCTAAATTAATTTAAGCAACTGACACGTGGAGAACTCGTGTCAGAGTTTATGTGTTTATCCTGCACATCGCGCTCCATCCAGTGGGCAGAAATGGATAGGTTACAGTCACCCACAGTTACTACCTACAGTTAGCAAAATGAGGATTTGGCTAAAATTTCTGGTAGCAAATAATTTTGAATGAAATATTTACACATCTCTTAAACATTGGTTATAGAATTCTCTCTGAATTCACGTATCTTTTCGCACTCCATCACATAGTGACTGAGGGTGTGCGAATAATTTTGATGACACAGTTTACATTTGGTCAGGTCTACGTCGGCAGATAATAAAAATTTCCAGAGATGCTTGTAACCGAGTCTAAGCCGAGCAATAGCAACATCTAGAAGTCTGCTGACTTTACTGAATGATCCATAGATGATAGACACTGTTAGGTACATCACCACCAGCTTCACTACCACCGTCAACACCACCACTAACCACTAGTCTCTACCATCAGCATGCAGGCTGGTGGAGGCCGTGAAGCAGCTGGGTACTGTGGTTCATCACCGCCTCTACTTCAGTCCTACCATCCACTACCTCTACGCCTCCCAGCTGGCCAGACACGCCTCCCTCCTCTCCGTAAGTCTCTACACACCTATTTGTGCCTACAGGATCGATCATTGGCTCTTGGATGTCGCCTTTCTAGCCCCCGGTGTGTGTGTGTGTGTGTGTGAGCGAGTGCGTGCACGCGCTCAGCTACGCATGTGAGCATAGATGAGCGTTGCCACCAACGCTCCGCCTTACAAGGAGTCAGTTGTCTATTATTGTGGCTCCCAAGCCTTCAGTTCCAAGTCCACTACGAGCTGTAGGGTATTTTCTCAGCAGGAATTTACTTGTTTATTTATTATTAATTTATTGAACTTACTTTAATTTATTATTATTAATTAAAACTGGACTGTATATTTAAAAGTGGACTGTATTTTATTAATTTATCCTGCTAGGTGTTTACCTGCTCATAAGTTTGGGGGGTTTATGTACGTGGTATATTTATCAATACATCAATGAATAACAATAGGTTACTAGAAGTTAATCTACTGCTAAAATGTGTTAGTAAAATGTCTGCGTCTGCGTGATGGCTGTTACCTTGTAAGACTCCAGTAGCTGCGGTCAGGGGAGCTTGGTGTCTTGAAGACTTGAAGTCTCCATGATACTTGGAGACATGATCTGTTCTCTCCAGACTCGAGGTGATTCACTGATTTCCTCCTGATGTAATTTACATTAGGAGGATCCTCTCTAGTAATTTACGGGGATGGCTATGAGTGATAGATCATATAGCATCAAGTAGCCCCATGTGTCGTCAAGTAGCACCCATGTGTCGTCAAGTCGCTCCCATGTGTCATCAAGTAACACCATGTTTCATCAAGTAGCACCATGTGTCATTAGATAGCACTTACATCAAGTAACACCATGTGTCATCAAGTAGCACCATGTGTCATCAAGTAGCACCCATGTGTCATCAAGTAGCACCCATGTGTCATCAAGTAGCACCCATGTGTCATCAAGTAGCACCCATGTGTCATCAAGTAGCACCATGTGTCATCAAGTAGCACTTACATCAAGCAACACTAACATTATCAGTAAATATAATTAGTTCACAGCAACGTTAACAGTAAATATAATCAAGTAAATATAAGTGGTAGTTAATGAGAGGAAGTGATGGTGGTGGTGCAGGCGTCGGGGGCGACGGTGGGGTCCCTGGAGGCGAGCATGACAGCGGCACAAGAGGAGAGAGAGGACTCCCTCGCCACCAGAGACGGCGTCATCGCCTCCCTCACCAGTCACCTCCAGCACCTGGACCACGCCGGCGCCCAGGCTGTCCTCTCCTGCAGGTAGGTCCTCACACCTCACCCACGGTAATACTGTAGCAGACTCCAGGCACACCAGACGCCTCTAGTCTCATAATATTCCGCCCCATCCTCCTGTTGTGGCAGTACTTATAGTAAGGATGAGGACCATAGAATATATGTCGACGAACAACTAAGATAGATAGTAGAAATTGGCACTATTGAGTTGAACAAACTGGAAAATGATTTATTACTTGAGTTGCTTTGACAAACTAAACTAGCCTAACCTAATCTTCCTAGGTCTAATACATGATATCTGAGGCCTATTATAATACATATGTGTGCTATACTAGGCCTAAGAATATTTAAGTTTGTTTTCTAGCTTCATTTTGTTAAGAATTTCTTACTAGTCTTACTACTAGTACTCTCTAAAAACTAAGTATGTATGAATTCGTGACTATTGAGGATGGTGACAATAGGCACTGTAAACAGGAGGAAGGTTGTAATATTACAGTTCCCGCCTTCCGCGGCCTTCACCCCCCCCCTCCTGGGGTCATGTGACCTGCCACACAACAAAAGACTTCAGAAAACGACGTCACTCTGGATGTCGTCTCCTCTCTTGATGTTTTAATGTCATGACTTTCTGTTTAAGTTAATTTTATGATTCAGTGGAAACCAAATGTACAAGTTCATAAACACACACACACACACACACACACACACACACACACACACACACACACACACACACACACACACACACACACATATGGAAGATTTCCTGAGACCTGGAACTTTAAGAACAAGAGGTCATAGATTTAAACTAACTAAACAGAGATGTCGAAGAAATATAAGAAAATTAACTTTTGTAAACAGTGGTAGACGGTTGGAACAAGTTAGGTGAGAAGGTGGCGGAAGCCAAAACCATCAGTAGTTTTAAAACGTCATATGACAAAGAGTGCTGGGAAGACAGGACACCACAAGCGTAGCTCTCATCCTGTAACTACACTTAGGTAATTACATTTAGGTAATTACACACACACACACACACACACATATATATATATATATATATATATATATATATATATATATATATATATATATATATATTTATATATATATAATGTTGTTGAATATGACCGAAAGGGTAAGATTAATAATTCTAACACGAATCTTCTCAATATTTCTTACGTTTTTCTTCACTATCAAGAATAATTGAAAAATTAGCTCTCCAAAATTCATTTTTTTACATTTTTATTTTTGGTCTGACGCCTAAAAGCGTTTCGCAAAGCTTCTTACATTTTCAAAGACTGATTTACACATATCATATATCATGCTTATATTAGTTTTGTGTGAGGTGACAAAACACGAATCATTCTATTCTATCTACCTAAGTGTCAATATTAGACCACATATAAATAGTCACCCCTTGTGAAAACCACTTTTGTATGCCTTCAATGAACGGACAGTTTTAGCTTGCGAGCTCACATCAACTATTTACTGTAGTCTGTTTAATTAATTTCATTCATGTGTTGGTTGAAAATTTTGTTCTTGCTTCTCAGGGGTGTTGTGTGGGTTGCCTCGGCTCCACACTGGGACGAAACAAGGCCCCGTGCAACACCAAACATTCCTAATTTGAATCGGCTAATCAAGCCACTAGAACCTAGGACGAGTCAGTTCTAGGTGCAGTGATGTGATGGAGCTTCTCTCTCTGCTACAGACAGGAGGCCAAGACGGAGCTGGAGGAGGTGAGGGCCAACAGTGAGATCAGCCTCCAGGAGCTGAAGGGTGACCTGCTGGCCAGCTCAGAGGCCATGAGCACCCAGGAGGACAGACACCACCTGCAGGAGCTGGTCCTTAGGAGTAGGAGGTAGGTGAAGGTGTTAGAGGTAGGTGGTGGTGTAGGAGGTGGTGTAGGAGGTGGTGTAGGTGGTGGTGTAGGAGGTGGTGTAGGTGGTGGTGTAGGAGGTGGTGTAGGTGGTGGTGTAGGTGGTGGTGTAGGTGGTGGTGTAGGAGGTAGGTGGTGGTGTAGGAGGTGGTGTAGGTGGTGGTGTAGGAGGTAGGTGGTGGTGTAGGAGGTGGTGTAGGTGGTGGTGTAGGAGGTGGTGTAGGTGGTGGTGTAGGAGGTAGGTGGAGGTGTAGGAGGTAGGTGGTGGTGTAGGAGGTAGGTGGTGTGTGTAGGAGGTAGGTGGAGGTGTAGGAGGTAGGTGGTGGTGTAGGAGGTAGGTGGTGGTGTAGGAGGTAGGTAGGTGGTGGTGTAGGTGGTAGGTGGTGGTGTAGGTGCTGGTGTAGGAGGTAGGTGGTGGTGTAGTGTGTGTACAGGCAGGACCTGGAGCGACAAGTCCAAGGGTGGTGGGACTCATGTAGTGTGTGTACAGGCAGGAGCTGGAGCGACAAGTCCAAGGGTGGTGGGACTCATGTAGTGTGTGTACAGGCAGGACCTGGAGCGTCAAGTCCAAGGGTGGTGGGACTCATGTAGTGTGTGTACAGGCAGGAGCTGGAGCGACAAGTCCAAGGGTGGTGGGACTCATGTAGTGTGTGTACAGGCAGGACCTGGAGCGACAAGTCCAAGGGTGGTGGGACTCATGTAGTGTGTGTACAGGCAGGACCTGGAGCGACAAGTCCAAGGGTGGTGGGACTCATGTAGTGTGTGTACAGGCAGGACCTGGAGCGTCAAGTCCAAGGGTGGTGGGACTTATGTAGTGTGTGTACAGGCAGGAGCTGGAGCGACAAGTCCAAGGGTGGTGGGACTCATGTAGTGTGTGTACAGGCAGGACCTGGAGCGACAAGTCCAAGGGTGGTGGGACTCATGTAGTGTGTGTACAGGCAGGACCTGGAGCGTCAAGTCCAAGGGTGGTGGGACTCATGTAGTGTGTGTACAGGCAGGACCTGGAGCGTCAAGTCCAAGGGTGGTGGGACTCATGTAGTGTGTGTACAGGCAGGACCTGGAGCGTCAAGTCCAAGGGTGGTGGGACTCATGTAGTGTGTGTATAGGCAGGAGCTGGAGCGACAAGTCCAAGGGTGGTGGGACTCATGTAGTGTGTGTACAGGCAGGACCTGGAGCGACAAGTCCAAGGGTGGTGGGACTCATGTAGTGTGTGTACAGGCAGGAGCTGGAGCGACAAGTCCAAGGGGTCATCCGTCGATACGACGCTACGATGAGTCGCCTGCAGACCTCCCTGGATGACCTCCGTCTGAAACACGTTGACCTCACAGGACTCCTGCAGGCGAAGCAGGTACATCTTACCCCTCAATACTCACCCCTCAATAATCACCTCTTAATACTCACCCCTCAATAATCACCCCTCACTACTCACCTCTCAATAATCACCTCTCAATACTCACCCCTCAATACTCACCCCTCACTACTCACCCCTCACTACTCACCCGTTAATACTCACCTCTTAATACTCACCCCTCAATATTCACCCCTCACTACTCACCCCTCAATACTCACCCCTCAATACTCACCCCTCAATTCTCACCCCTCAATACTCACCCCTCAATATTACCCTTCAGTACTCACCCCCCTTCAATACTCACCCCTCAATAATCACCCCTCAATAATCACCTCTCAATACTCACCCCTCAATACTCACCCCTCACTACTCACCCCTCAATACTCACCCGTTAATACTCACCTCTTAATACTCACCCCTCAATACTCACCCCTCAATACTCACCCCTCACTACTCACCCCTCAATACTCACCCCTCAATACTCACCCCTCAATACTCACCCCTCAATACTCACCCCTCAATACTCACCCCTCAATATTAACCCTTCAGTACTCACCCTTCAATACTCACCTGTCATTACTCACCCCTCAAAACTCACCCCTCAATACTCACCCCTATTTCAGATATTTTGAAAACTGCAGGGGGGGTTGGGCAAAATATGACCCATCGCCGTTTTCAGTAATTGGCATATTTTCGGTATAAAAAGTCGTAATTTGAAAATGAAAATAGGTGCAGAGAGTTAGAATTCGGCTCGAAAATCACGCTCAGGAGTCAAATTTCCAACATTTCAGATATTTTGAAAACTGCAGAGGGGATTGGGCAAAATATAACCCATCGCGGTTTTCAGTAATTGGCATATTTTCGGCATAAAAAGTCGTAATTTGAAAATGAAAATAGGTGCAGACAGTCAGAATTCGGCTCAAAAATCACGCTCTGGAGTCAAATTTCCGACATTTCAGATATTTTGAAAACTGCAGGGGGGTTTGGGCAAAATATGACCCATCGCCGTTTTCAGTAATTGGCATATTTTCGGTATTAAAAGTCGTAATTTGAAAATGAAAATAGGTGCAGAGAGTCAGAATTGGGCCCAAAAATCACGCTCAAGAGTCAAATTTCCGACACTTGAGATATTTTGAAAACTGCAGGGGGGTTTGGGCAAAATACGACCCATTGCGGTTTTCAGTAATCGACATACTTTTGGCATAAAAAGTAGTAATTTGAAAATGAAAATAGGTGCAGAGAGTTAGAATTCGGCTTGAAAATCACGCTCAGGAGTCAAATTTCCGACATTTCAGATATTTTGAAAACTGCAGGGGGATTGGGCAAAATATGACCCATCGCGGTTTTCAGTAATTGGCATATTTTCGGCATAAAAAGTCGTAATTTGAAAATGAAAAAAAGGTGCAGAGAGTCGGAATTCGGCTCAAAAATCACGCTCAGGAGTCAAATTTCCGACATTTCAGACATTTTGAAAACTGCAGGGGGGTTTGGGCAAAATATGACCCATCGCCGTTTTCAGTAATTGGCATATTTTCGGTATGAAAAGTCGTAATTTGAAACTGAAAATAGGTGCAGAGAGTCAGAATTCGGCTCAAAAATCACGCTCAGGAGTCGAATTTCCGACATTTCAGACATTTTAAAAACTGCAGGGGGGTTTAGGCAACATATGACCCATCGCCGTTTTCAGTAATTGGCATATTTTCGGTATAAAAATTCGTAATTTGAAACTGAAAATAGGTGCAGAGAGTCAGAATTCGGCTCAAAAATCATGCTCAGGAGTCAAATTTCCGACATTTCAGACATTTTGAAAACTGCAGGGGGGTTTGTGAAAAATATGACCCATCGGTGTTTACAGTAATTGGCATATTTTCGGTATGAAAAGTCGTAATTTGAAACTGAAAACAGGTGCAGAGAGTCAGAATTCGGCTCAAAAATCACGCTCAGGAGTCAAATTTCCGACATTTCAGACATTTTGAAAACTGCATTCGGATAAAAAAATCACGCTCAGGAGTCAAATTTCCGACATATCAGACATTTTGAAAACTGGGGGGTTTGGGCAAAATATGACCCATCGCCGTTTTCAGTAATTGGCATATTTTCGGTATAAAAAGTCGTAATTTGAAACTGAAAATAGGTGCAGAGAGTCAGAATTCGGCTCAAAAATCACGCTCAGGAGTCAAATTTCCGACATATCAGACATTTTGAAAACTGCAGGGGGGTTTGGGCAAAATATGACCCATCGCCGTTTACAGTAATTGGCATATTTTCGGTATAAAAAGTCGTAATTTGAAACTGAAAATAGCTGCAGAGAGTCACAATTCGGCTCAAAAATCACGCTCAGGAGTCAAATTTCCGACATTTCAGACATTTTGAAAACTGCAGGGGGGTTTGGGCAAAATATGACCCATCGCCGTTTTCAGTAATTGGCATATTTTCGGTATAAAAAGTCGTAATTTGAAACTGAAAATAGGTGCAGAGAGTCAGAATTCGGATAAAAAATCACGCTCAGGAGTCAAATTTCCGACATTTCAGACATTTTGAAAACTGCAGGGGGGTTTGGGCAAAATATGACCCATCGCCGTTTACAGTAATTGGCATATTTTCGGTATAAAAAGTCGTAATTTGAAACTGAAAATAGGTGCAGAGAGTCAGAATTCGGCTCAAAAATCACGCTCAGGAGTCAAATTTCCGACATTTCAGACATTTTGAAAACTGCAGGGGGGTTTGGGCAAAATATGACCCATCGCCGTTTTCAGTAATTGGCATATTTTCGGTATAAAAAGTCGTAATTTGAAAATGAAAATAGGTGCAGAGAGTCAGAATTCGGCTCAAAAATCACGCTCAGGAGTCAAATTTCCGACATTTCAGACATTTTGAAAACTGCAGGGGGGTTTGGGCAAAATATGACCCATCGCCGTTTTCAGTAATTGGCATATTTTCGGTATTAAAAGTCGTAATTTGAAACTGAAAATAGGTGCAGAGAGTCAGAATTCGGCTCAAAAATCACGCTCAGGAGTCAAATTTCCGACATTTCAGACATTTTGAAAACTGCAGGGGGGTTTGGGCAAAATATGACCCATCGCCGTTTTCAGTAATTGGCATATTTTCGGTATAAAATTCGTAATTTGAAACTGAAAATAGGTGCAGAGAGTCAGAATTCGGCTCAAAAATCACGCTCAGGAGTCAAATTTCCGACATTTCAGACATTTTGAAAACTGCAGGGGGGTTTGGGCAAAATATGACCCATCGCCGTTTTCAGTAATTGGCATATTTTCGGTATAAAAAGTCGTAATTTGAAACTGAAAATAGGTGCAGAGAGTCAGAATTCGGCTCAAAAATCACGCTCAGGAGTCAAATTTCCGACATTTCAGACATTTTGAAAACTGCAGGGGGTTTGGGCAAAATATGACCCATCGCCGTTTTCAGTAATTGGCATATTTTCGGTATAAAAAGTCGTAATTTGAAACTGAAAATAGGTGCAGAGAGTCAGAATTCGTCTCAAAAATCACGCTCAGGAGTCAAATTTCCGACATTTCAGACATTTTGAAAACTGCAGGGGGGTTTGGGCAAAATATGACCCATCGCCGTTTTCAGTAATTGGCATATTTTCGGTATGAAACATCGTAATTTGAAACTGAAAATAGGTGCAGAGAGTCAGAATTCGGCTAAAAAATCACGCTCAGGAGTCAAATTTCCGACATTTCAGACATTTTGAAAACTGCAGGGGGGTTTGGGCAAAATATGACCCATCGCCGTTTACAGTAATTGGCATATTTTCGGTATGAAAATTCGTAATTTGAAACTGAAAATAGGTGCAGAGAGTCAGAATTCGGCTCAAAAATCACGCTCAGGAGTCAAATTTCCGACATTTCAGACATTTTGAAAACTGCAGGGGGGTTTGGGCAAAATATGACCCATCGCCGTTTTCAGTAATTGGCATATTTTCGGTATAAAACGTCGTAATTTGAAACTGAAAATAGGTGCAGAGAGTCAGAATTCGGATAAAAAATCACGCTCAGGAGTCAAATTTCCGACATTTCAGACATTTTGAAAACTGCAGGGGGGTTTGGGCAAAATATGACCCATCGCCGTTTACAGTAATTGGCATATTTTCGGTATAAAAAGTCGTAATTTGAAACTGAAAATAGGTGCAGAGAGTCAGAATTCGGCTCAAAAATCACGCTCAGGAGTCAAATTTCCGACATTTCAGACATTTTAAAAACTGCAGGGGGGTTTGGGCAAAATATGACCCATCGCCGTTTTCAGTAATTGGCATATTTTCGGTATGAAAAGTCGTAATTTGAAACTGAAAATAGGTGCAGAGAGTCAGAATTCGGCTCAAAAATCACGCTCAGGAGTCAAATTTCCGACATTTCAGACATTTTGAAAACTGCAGGGGGGTTTGGGCAAAATATGACCCATCGCCGTTTTCAGTAATTGGCATATTTTCGGTATACAACGTCGTAATTTGAAACTGAAAATAGGTGCAGAGAGTCAGAATTCGGCTCAAAAATCACGCTCAGGAGTCAAATTTCCGACATTTCAGACATTTTGAAAACTGCAGGGGGGTTTGGGCAAAATATGACCCATCGCCGTTTTCAGTAATTGGCATATTTTCGGTATGAAAAGTCGTAATTTGAAACTGAAAATAGGTGCAGAGAGTCAGAATTCGGATAAAAAATCACGCTCAGGAGTCAAATTTCCGACATTTCAGACATTTTGAAAACTGCAGGGGGGTTTGGGCAAAATATGACCCATCGCCGTTTACAGTAATTGGCATATTTTCGGTATGAAAAGTCGTAATTTGAAACTGAAAATAGGTGCAGAGAGTCAGAATTCGGCTCAAAAATCACGCTCAGGAGTCAAATTTCCGACATTTCAGACAATTTGAAAACTGCAGGGGGGTTTGGGCAAAATATGACCCATCGCCGTTTTCAGTAATTGGCATATTTTCGGTATAAAAAGTCGTAATTTGAAACTGAAAATAGGTGCAGAGA